TTGTAATGGTCTTCTAATTTATATGACAAACCGTTACAGTCCCTTTCATTATAAGAACTGTACAGCAGCTTTGTATTTCCTTCTCTTGTCCTCTTAAATGCTGCTTGCAGCACAGGGCTACACCATGTTCCTCTTTTTCTCAAGGCCTTCCTGGATCCTGTGGTCAGAGGCTAACAAGCCAGGAGTGTATTCATCATCTGTTTTCCCAGCTTCCATACAGAGTGAATTTGATTTGCATTCTGTACTGTTCTAGTGGTTGAGATGCTGTCATTCCTATTGACGCGTTTATTTACTGATTTTTTGGGGTTTGGTCATTTTTACAAAAATAATGAAAACTACTAAGCTGAATGGCTGTGGTCCTTGGCCTTCCATGGCAATAAATAGCTTTTGCAGCTAAGGGTTTTGATCAACCACAGAAAACTATTACAATTGTAGTCTTGTGCCTTACATATTGTATCCAACCAGAGAACCGTTTCAAGCACTGAGATTTGCCAAAACACACAGATTTTATTAGTAAAAAAAAAAAAGTCTTACATGTGTTCTTAATGTTTTGCTGAATAGGGATATCTTGCAGTGTAGTAATCTATCTCTCCTTCTTTTAATTCTTTACACTGGGCTGACGTGATATGGAAGACTATTTCTTTTTCACAGACGTATTGCCTTTTCTGTTATTTTCTCCCATTCTGTCTTTTTTTCCTGGCAACAGCAAGCTTACAACCTCTGTATAGGTTCCTTATCATCTCTTCTGTTCCTCATCCCCATGAGGAGTGGCAGCATCCTGGAGTGTTCTGATCTCTGTCTTTAGGAAATATTCTGTAGTTTCACCACACAGATTCCTTGGCTGTAGCCTTATTCACGTTTTCAAGGAGCTAGTGGGTTAGATGATGTTAATACCTGCAAGCCTGCATTTGGTTTTAATTCTGGCTTAACTTCTGTGTATATTTCTACAAAATGCTTAGTTTTTACTGTTAATTTTATTTAGTCTGCTTTTTGTAACCTTTACTCAGCTTGTATTTATCCATCTGTCTCTTGTAATGTTTGATGGTATTAGGAAATTTCAGCAGAATGTAAGGTAAAGGTAGAATCTCAGAGTATTAAGTTATTGTGACAAACATGCCAGAGTTTTGGCTTGCTGGGGAAGAAGGAGAAGCTGCTGCTGGCCCTCTGGACGCTGAGAGGTATCATGTTCTTGTTGGTTCACTTTATGGCCAAAGACCATGATCATCTCAAAGGGCCTACCCAGAAGACCAGACTAAATGTGTGGAGGATGTGGGTGGGAGCCAGGTATCAGCTTTCAGATGCACAAGGCAAACTGTAGGAAAACATTTCTTGCTTGTCTGGGGATAATTTTATTTATGTTTTGAAGATAAAATAAACCAGTAGTAGTTCTGTTATAATGCAGATTCTTCTCTAGGGAACTAGTCTGCAGAAAATCTGGTATTAGAATTATCTTTCTTAGTGCAGAATAGTGAACTTTCAAAAGGGGAAAAAAATACTATTCTAGAAACTATAATATAGTTGAAAAAAGGCAAAAGGAATTGATGGGTTTCACATCATGGCTGTCTCATGTTTTTTGATGAAGTCTTGTTTCTGAGGTGTTGTTTCTTTGGAAGTTCTTGCCATATATGTTACTGCAGAGCTGATTAGGTTGGATTGATGATGATCTCCTTGCAAGGGCTTATATCTTGGTAGCTGAAATGCAGTTACTCTGCATGTAAACATATTTTCTAGCTCGTATCCAGTATTGTTAATATATGTACCTTATTTTTCTTTAATACTTTGTATAAATGCTAGAGATACTAACTTCAGTAAAGTCTTAAGATTTTTAAAGGAAAATCGCCGTAGTTGTAATGGAATAGATAGTTTAGAATCAAGAAAGAGTATTAAAATACTGAAGACATTACAATTGAAACTCTGAATAGATATGGTACTGCCCAAACTGAGCATCTGCATTTGAACTATTTGGAGAGATGGTTGTACCCAAATGCCTTTGGGTATAATGAGATCCTAGGCATTATGAGACGATTTGAATTGCTGTGCTTTTTCATGGTTTAAAACCTGATACTTACCAATAAACACTTTTAAAAACTATAGGTGACATTGTATGTGGTCTTTATTCCCATTTCCCTTTTACTGTTGGATAATAAATTAACTTTGAAGTACTGTTGTAGCTCTCTTCTGATTCATTATACTGGACACTTCCCTGTGTCCTGATGTGCCCTCTCCTTTCTGCAATTTCAGCCTCTGCAGATTTGACAATATGGGACTGAAAAGAGGGAGTTTGCCTGGAGCAGAGCCCTGTTATGGTTCTGGTTGAGCTGATGTTTACACTAGTGCAGTTACTTCTTGCTATCAGTCTTATGCCCCTTGGCTCTTGAATAATCAAACAGAAAATTGGGTGCTCTGATAAAACCTGAAAAGCCTTTTTTAACTCAGTGGGCTAACAGGGAGGCCAGCGCGCTTTTTTTTTTTTTTTTTTTTTTCCCCCCTAAGAATGCTCTTGTCCTGTTTCCTTTCTAGCCTTCCCTTCCTTCAGTTGTGTTCCACTTCTCTTTGTCATTAGTGGGTGGCTGGCTGATCCTTGCGTTGGAGCCCTGTGCTTTGCTGTTGTGGGGACTGTGGCTGCTCCGAGCCAGCTGAGCCAGCGGGGGAGGCCCAGCCGCCCTTCCCAGGCCCTGAAGGTTTCTGTGTTATCCGCCACATTTCCATGTCTGCTGGGGTAGATACTGATGTGTAAAAGTTAAATGGAGTACTTATTAGATAGATCTAGTTACTCCAGGGTGTAAACCAGCTGAGAAGCCCTTTTTTGCCTGTATTTAAGTTAGTTTTCTGTGTTGAACGGGACGCTTACTGTTTGGTTATCACATCAGCATAATAGTGCTGATGTGATAGGGTTGGGTGAGGGCAATGGGGAACTGTCAAAACTTCCCTTTTGGTGGCAGCTAGCAACCCGGTTCCTTACCTATGTCCACACTCATAGATCAGTTTAGTTTCTGCCTTAGATAAAAAAAAAAAAAAAAAAAAAAAAAAAAAAGAGAGAGAGGAGAATGTCAACCATCAGCTTAATCTATAGTTTGAGCCAGTGGTGCTGATGGCAGTTGCAGTCTTCCCTCTGCTTATTCTTAGTCTCACACAGTTCCCTTTTCAGGTCCTTTTATGTTGTTATATAGTGAACCTAGATTGGAGAATTTATCTGGCTGAAAATTGCCTGACAAGTTTACATTTACACCAAATTAACTTCCCCTTTCAGTTCACCACAGGGCTGCAGAGCACATTGGTGTGGGCAGAGCGGAAAGAGCATCATAGGGATCAGGAGAGGCAGGGCTGCAGTAGTGCCAGCTTGCTTTTACTGAAGTTGTACAAAGTAGAGCTGAGGCATGTAGCTTGGTGGTGCTGTTCCCTGCCATGTCATTCAGCTGAACTGATTTGTCCCGCTTTTTAAAAAGCATGTGTAGAATTTTATGACAGCTGTGTGTTTTTGGTAACATAATAAATGCTCGGTACAGTGACTGTACTGATACTCTCCAGAAAGTTAAAATGAAGGATATTTATTTGTAGTTATTTTATGTCAGTCGTGAAAATAAGAGCATAGAAGCAAATCTAAGTTGTGAGCTATTTGTATTTGCCATTTTGTTGTATTTACAGAAGATGCTTTGGTTTTTTTTCTTTTGCTATAGAAATTCCAAGTAAGATTTTTGAGGAGAAGGACAAATCTTTAGTTCAGATTCTTTATATTGCTCATTGCAATTCTCTGTTTTGTTACCTGATTTGCCCAGTAATATCACAGGCTCAGTACTGTTTTGCCTTATAATATAACCTCATAGCATTAGTAATCTTTAAAACATGATGAGTTAGAAATGAGGGAAAGGTTAGTCTCTTGCCTTTTGATCTAGAAGTAACTGCAGATGCTCTGAAAAAAAGATAGTGTTTGAAAGTGATAGGTAACTTACTCTGGTTTTCTTTAATTTGAATACATCTCACTTTTAATTTATTTCATTTAATCTACATTTTTTATAAGCATTTTTCAAATGAAATGATTGTCACTCAGAATAACAGTGTATTTGACACTAGAGTTTTCATAATGTGCCCATCAGAGCTGATGCTATTCTAAAGTGTAATATCAATACCAAAAGGTGAATAAATAGTGCATTTGAGGAGGAAAACCAGGTATTTGGTATAACTGTGTTGGACTATACAATATTCTTTAAGGGGTTTTTCAAGCAGAAGCTCAGAAGTAAAAAGATGTGCTTGATAAATTCTCATCCCTTTGTTTTGAAAAAAATGATTTTGGAAATGCAGTAATTTTTTTCTAAATGGTCTGTGGTGTTTAACTGTTCAAAATCGCTAGCTGCACTTAAATATACTGGGTTTTGTTTTGAGACAACTAAAAGCAAACTGCAGCTGTACTTTTAAGCACAGAATTCAGGCAGCAGCATTTGTTCATGTTTTGAGTTTCTCAGTGAAAAAACTCCTAGGTCCTCCATTTAAAAGGCTTAGGGTTTGTTTGTTTTTTTGTTTGGGTTTTATTTATTTATTTATTTAAGAACTGAAGTCTTCCATGTAGCAATATAAATTTCAGTTTGTGCTATATTTCTTGGCTTTATGACAGTGAGTACTAAAGCCAGTTTGTAATGTACATAGAAAAATACTAGTATCCTGAAATAAAAGTAATTCTTTGTATGCAGACTTTCTATTTAGTAAGGCAGAAGTTAGACTGTCCTGTCAGAATTTTCTCCTATTATTTTTGGTTCATTGTCCACGTTGAGCAGAACAGAAATATTCGGGATAATGCTCACATTTGTATCTATGCAATTTTAGGTCTTGAACTTTCCTGCCTTTTGATCTGTGTGGTCCTTCCAGTGGTACTTTATGCTGTTATTTTGTGACGGTTCTAGTATATAGTGTGTCCTACATAAATGATATTGTGCTCTTTCTGTAGATTGACTTTTTCTGATGGATATATAAGAACTTTTTTCCTGTTTTTTTTCACGCTTGCAGAAAGTTCTAAGCTGAGACACGTAGAAAAAGATGTTTTGATTCCGCAGATAATGAGGGAACGAGCCAAGGAGCTGTGTTCAGATAAAGTGCAAGGTAAGAGTCAAATGTTCTTGGGAGATCAGATGTATTCACTTTTGTGCCCTGAATATAATCCTTCTTTCTGAAGTCAAGTAGTCGGAAAATTAATACGTATGATCTGCATCTTTTCTGTTCAGTGTGAAACCAGTAGTAAAGTGTATAAATCTGCCATGTTGGCTTTGGCTGCTTGGTGATGTGGACTGTTTTCTAAAATGACTTGGTTTTGGGTGCTATGGAATTTATGATTAATACAAAACTTTCCACATCTCGGTCTAGACTATGTGATGACAGAGCAACACAAGTGTTATTATATTCCTGTCTGTAATATTTGATATTACATAAATGGAATTCCCTCATGTGAGCCATCAGTTAGGGCCTCCCTCATTATGATAAATTTATTTAAATGTTTCCAAATAGCTGCATCCTTTCCCTGCTCCAGTATTTTAATGATACATACAAATAAACACATATATGTAATTAGATGGATGTTGAAATACAATGGTGCAGTCTTCTTTTGCATGTTTTCATTTCCCTGAAGAGTACTGGACAATAACTTTTTAAAGTTGGGTATCACCATTTCTTTTGATACCCAGCTGTTCTTATATTCCTGGAAGAAATCTGGAACTTTTTGAAGTACCAGGAGGATGGAGCTACTACACACAGGTTAGCTGAGAGTGCTGTTAGAGGGATGTAAGAATGGGAAAAAAAAAAAGGCCAAGAATTATTCTATACAAGTGGCATGCTTTCAGTAGAGGGCACTTGCCTCTTATAATCTAGATCTGTGCTGTCTAAACTTTTTTGATCACATACCCCAATTGTAAAGACTTTCTGAGCATGCAATCATGATATTTATTTATAACGTATCACTGTACTACTGTATTATGTACATCGTAAAACAAAAATAGAAATTAGAAAAGGATGAAAAAAAAGATGAAATAAATAGTACTTTAATTTTTATTATTTATCAATGGTACAAAAACCTTTTTGCTCTAAAAATATTGTTATTAATAACAATAGTTTTATTGAGAGCTATACGTTTGAATATGCTTCATTATTTTTTAAAATCTTTGCTTAACACTTTGTGATACAGCAATTGAAAGGTTTGGTTCTAGGTTCAGATTATTTCAGTACTTGGTTTTAAAGGGTGTCATAGCTGAAAAAGAGAACTCACAGAGATGCAGAAATCCCAGTGGAAGAAGTGCATCGTTTCTGCACTTACTAAATCATGATATTCATTTTTCAGTCCCATCCATAAGTTTTGCAAAGGTTTTGCTTGAAATTGGGCTCATAGATGACCATCTTCCCTGATGTCAAACAGTTGTTTTTCCAAACTAATCAAGAGGGGTTGCATGTTTATGTTTGTAACAAACACGTTCAAAACCCACTGAAACTGTAATTTGGGAGATTTTAAAATAGGTTAGAAAATTCTGTTTGTATCCTTTTAAAGTGTCCAGATACGAGAGGATTTTATAGGTGGCATATATTATATTCAGCAACCAAACCAAACGAACAATCACATGATAAGGGGAACATATTCAAACATCTGTTTTCAAAAAGCTCTCTCCATAGCATAAGTTTCTTTTGAAAATCAGTCACTTTCTAACTCACTGTTAAAACTTCACCTTCACCTTGAAGGGACACATCAAGGATGTTTCTTTTTTGGAAATACCTGTGAGGTAGCAAACTACTCGCAGCCACCTCTCATCACCAGAAAGGTCAGCAAATTTGGAACACTTGTCTTTTCATGAAAGAAAAATGCATAAAGAAGTTTGGCCGCTCTTTTAAGCTCTTTGCCACAAGATAACCACTGAACCTCTGCATGGTAGGAGAGATTTTCATGGTCCGTCCCCATCTCCTTGCAAAGTCTGGTGAAGGTGCTGCTATTTGAAGGGCTTGTTTCTATAAGGTTAACCACATCGGTGTCATCCTGTGGCGCTTTGTGCGCTCCAGGCTCCGACTTCTGTGCTGCAATAGCTCACCTATGAGTGAGGCAGTGAAAGAGTTTTCACGTGTGGTGCCATCTCTGTAAGGTGCCATCTCTGTAACCTTACCCTTCGCTCCACCACTGGTTACACTTCCACAGTTTTTTCCCTAAAACATTGTTTTTATTAAAGAAGCCATTTCCTGTTGAGAATCTTATCTTTCGAAGAAGTTCTTCATGCTGCATTTCATTATTGAAATGCAAATCCGTACGCTGAGAGAAGTTAGAAACATCTGTACTTCCATCCAGCTGCATAGCAAAGCGCCCGCACTGTGTAACGTCTTCATACTTGTTTCTTCAAATTTTCAGCCTTGTCTTCTGTGCATCTTCCAACGGGATTTACTGACAAAGAAGTGCATTTTAGTTTTTTGCCATATTGTTTTGCACACACTCTTTCAGCTATTTTTACCATGGCAGGAAGAACAATTGTTTCCCCAATGGTGTGTGGCTTTTTGTCTTTCACTATTACCTAAGAAACTTCAAAGGAGGCTTCTAGACATTTATCACGAGGTGTAGAGTCAAATCTAGTTGAAGTGGACCAGCATATTTTCAAGCAGTTTCTTTTAGGGTTTCTCCAAAAGGCATAAAAGAGCAGTGTTACTATAATTTTGAGATGAGTAAGTGAGAAAAGAGTTGGGAATTTCTGCCAGAGGAAAGTAGCGTCATATGATAGGTAATTTTCAGTGCTGCCAGAAGGACTTAATACAGCTTTTTTAATTTGAATGATAGTTGAATCATTTTTACTTTGAATTCTATACCTGTTGTGGAAAAAAAATAAAGAGGAAAAGCAATAATTACAGTAATGTGGGTCATTGAAAGAGGATGTCAGTTAAAAATATTTTGAGAGCATGCTATTTGTATAATTTTGTTTGGGGGTAGATGAACGTGTGTGTGTATTTTTCTCTTTAGAACTTTTTCTGTGTAAGATAAGAATTTCAGTTTCAGCATCTTATTTTTCTGTAGCATCAGCTAATATTGGAGATTGTTGAGCTTTGAGTTGTGGACCATTACCTTGCAGCTTCTCCATGCTTTTTCCTCCATAAATCTTAAAGTAAAATGCTATCTTTTTAAAATTTCTGTGATATTAGGCAATACTGTATTATTTTTATTCTTTCTCCTGAATAGAGTTCAGTTGTGTATCTTTAGGAAAATTAGGGTTGTGAATATATCTGTCAACCACTCATTCCTCTGTCATCTGTAATCCAGCTTTGATCAAACTGTGTGGAAGTCAGAGCTGGAAAGCGAGTATTTCTGATGCAATTTTTATGATCAAATTGACAAGCAAAACCTACATTGATACCCCTATTAAAGAAAAGGTGGTAGCATAAATTCAGCTTTTTTGTTGTACATCGCTTAATCTAGACGGGATGGGAGAGACGAAACCACAGCAAGTGAAGCTTAAACAGTTTTGTGAAGAGGAGAATTTATCATCTCTTAAATCCATTGTGAAATTATTCCTGGAATAAATTTGTCTTGTTAGTACACAGGGATAGGTGTTAATCAGAGTAGATAGGCCATGGTTTTTATGCTGTAAACAAGTGTAAACTATGAACATAAGCTGCGTAATTAAGTAATCAAAACTCATGTGATTGGGTTTGTGTACTACAGAGTGTACACATGTGCATGAAACTGTGCTGTTTACATTAAGCAGCATAGCTACTCATTTAACTTGATCTCATTTTAGGATTTTTCTGCTTTAAGTTAGTTTTGTTTGAACAACTGTTAAAACACCTTTGTTTTATTTATCTTTAGGAAATTGTGGTCAATGCACTGGTAATAGAGGAAATAAAACTATTCTACGTATATGGGCCTTTACAATTTACTTGATTGCTCTAGGTTCATATGTGTCCCTATGGGGAGCCCCTATACATTCAATAGTGCTCTGCATGAGCAGGGGGGTCCATCTGTATACAGTCCGTTACCTTAGCCTGCAGCTATACCACCTAGAGCTGTGTGCTTATCAGAGCTAATAATGCGAGTAGTGACAGCCTGTCCAGCACGTGTTCAAGAGCCATCCAGGGAATAGAAACCCCAAGGGTTAAAAAATAAATAAAAAATAACGGTTTTGTTAACTCAAGAGGTGATCTTGCTACCCTGGCATCGTTAAATGGGTGACCCATTGTTGTGCTTGGTTGTTAGCATACCAGAGTAATTTAAGGATGAAATAACCACAAAAATGTGTCCATCTCATAATGTTTAGAAAAATTAAGTATTGTGTCTGGACATACTTTATTTTACTTAGATTATTTAAATTTACTTTGAACTTTTTTTAGATTATTCCAATATAGTTCTTGTGTGCTGCATGTTTCTCAAGAATTTAGTATACCTCAGTTGCAAAATAATGTCTGTAAAGGCTTTTTTTTTTCACTGAAAATGGCTGTATTAGTAATTTTGTTAAGAGGGTAAACATGCTTTCTGCAAAACACTAGTCAGTTTTTCCATGAACATTATGTAAATACGCTTTATTGTGTTAAGATCCATGCCCTGTATGTATGTGAAATTGTGCACTATTATAGGAGTGTCAAAAGCGTTATAAAAACCAAGCAAACAAAAAAACCCAACAGCATTGTGATACAGGAGCTTTTCACTGTATTTGCACAAAGTGTAGCATGTATTCATGTGAAAGAATATTAAATCCATTTATTTCTGTATTAGCATGTCCTTGACATATAAAAAAACATGCTTTCAAACTGAAGTAGCTAAAAGGAATGTTTATTTGCCATTGCCTTATCCATTGCTTTTATGAAATAGTTTTTTATACAAGCTGTTTTCCTTTATTTCATAAAGTTTTATTTATTTTACAAAGTTTTTGGCTTTAATTTCCAGTTATAAGATTTAAATTTGAGTAAACTTGAAAGCAAAATCATAGCAAATTTCAGGTACCTGAAGTTAGCATTTTCTGTCAGAAAGGTTATATTTAGCTTATCAAAATGTCTGTAGTTTCATCTAGCTGTGCTGTGCTTTCCATGACTCCTCTCTGCTCTGAAGATAGGGACGCTCACTAAAATCAACTGCAGGAGCTTTGGTTGATCTT